TGAGAGGACTGCCAGCCTCCCGGCCCCCCAGCACCCCTGCCTGCCATATACCTGGTAAATCCCCAATAAAAGCCTGAAAAGCCACTGAGGACTCTGACTCCTCCTTGACCCGGTCTGCTGGATCATAGAAAACCGGCATCGTGTCCAGTCCTGCCCTTCACAGTAATAAACCTTGTGGCTTAATTTCCTTTGTGTGGGTGTGTAGGGTAAAGAAAATATCAGGCTTTTCTGTCCTCCCGCCATCAGGATAGATGATGGATCCTTGTCCTGAATGCATGCCTGATGGCGGGCACCTGAAATAGGGTGTGGGCGTAAGTAGATGGGATTCAGCTAAGACTGCTTTTAAGGGCGGCGTCACGGGGACGCCAGCAGCAGCAGTAGAAGCCGAAGCAGAAGCCGAAAGAGAAGCCGAGAAGCAGCAGAACGAACGCTAGAGAGCCTAGATAGAGTGAAGACTTGCTGGGGGCTGGGAGGCCTGCCAGCCTCCCAGCCCCCCAGCCAGCACCCCTGCCTGCCATATGCCTGGTGAACCCCAATAAAAGACCTGCAAAAACCCACTAAAGACTCTGACTCCTCCTTTACCCGGTCTGCATGGGATCAGAAAACCTGCACTGTGTCTATTCCTGCCCCTACAGGGTGTATTGAAACTGAACCTTCAATCAGAATGACCCAGGCTTTCACTTCCTCAGAGTGGGAGACGGGTGCTGGGGGCACCACCTGCCCATCTGTGTGGAGGGCTGGTGCCTTCTGCCCACAGGCCATTGCTCGTGTGTTCTCAACACACCAGCTACAGCTCCTCAGGCTCCCTGCAAGAGCCTTTTCAGAAACACCCCCGCGTGTCAGTAAACATGTGATGCTTCTGGAACAGGTAACTTCACCTCACCTGCAGCTGGGGCCAGGTGCTGCTATGCACCCCCTGCTCTCGGGCCAGACTGGCCCCGGCTGGGGGCCGAAAGTCCCCAGAGGAGATCAGGACTCCAGATTCAGTCTGGACCTCTAGCCCCACGAGGGACGTGTCCAACTCACCCTCAAATGGGAACCCCAGAATCTTCGCCTTATTTTGGAGAATCTCTAGCTCAGCGCTAAACTGAAAAACAAACCAAAAACCCAACAGATTCCAGTCTGGATTTCTTTCTTTTTTGTTTTTTTTAATTTATTTTTATTTATTTATACAAGTACTGGGTACAGTCAGAAGCACGGGGGGTGAGAGAATTCACCAGAGCCAGAGCGGGGAGCAGAGCAGGCAGAAGGACCGAAGTACACTGCTGAGGGGAGCAGCGGGCGGCAGGAGAGGTCTGCGCACCATGTGGGACCCTCCTCTGGTGGCCGGGGAGCAGCTGGGGATCGAACCAGCGCTGCAGAGGCTGCGGGCAGCTTCGCAACCCAGCGCTCAACCGCTGCGCCACCGGGGAAGCCCTGGATTTCTTTTTATAATCTCCTTGGTGTCGATATTTTTTTAAACAATTATTATATGTCTTTTAATAAATTCAAATCATGGACATACATAAAGGATAAATTCTCTTTCTAACCATTATTCTCTCATCTTCAATCCCAGGAATTTGAAGTCTAACAGTTTACAAGTCCCCTCATTTAATGCTTATACAAATGTATTTATGACAAAGGAATTATATACTTGTGTATTGTTTTACAACTGGCATCTATTATTTAATCATGTATTCTGGACTGCCTTCCATGTCAAATAGATATCTAGTGTATATTTGCCCAAGAGGATAATGGTACTGCAATTCTTTTACATATTAAAATTCTTTTATATTAGGGCCTCCTGGGTGGCGCAGGGGTTAAGTCTCAGTGCTATCAAGCTATTTGCAACCACTGCAGCCTGAGTTTGATCCCCAGGTAGGGAGGTGTCCCACACAGCACAGCAGACCTCTCCTGTCTCCCCACTGCTCCCCTCAGCAGTGTGTTTCAGTCAATCCTTCTGTTCTGTTCCCCACTCTGTCTCTGGTGAATCCTCTCATCCCCAGCACCTCTGGCCTGTACCCCAGCTCCTGTATGCATAAATAAATCTTTTTTAAAAATTTGATTTCTTTTATATTGTAAAAGGACAGGTTTGTTAGGAGAGGGGAAAGGGAAGCACTTGAACAGACACTAGTGGGCACAAAGTGGCCACTGCAGCTTTGCAAAGAGAAAGGTTTGTGAAAAGAAATGCCCTGAGGTCACAGGCTCCCAGGAGGGGGCTGCTGAAACTCATTGACTCTTCCTGGAGATTTGAAACGCCATCTTCATCATATGTCACCTGTCTTGGCCTAGTCTGTTTCAGAATCACATTGCTTTTATTACTGTAGTTTATAGGAACTTTTAATATTTGGTAAGGTATAGATAGTACTTTTGAAGTATCCAACCTTATGTGCTTCAAAATCCTACCAATAGGGCCTCGCTGGTGGCACAAAGGGTTAAGACACAACCTATGAAGCTGTCTGCAGCCTCTGCAGTTTGATCCCAAGCCGGTCAGAGCGCAACCCACAAGGTGCAGCAGACCTCTCCTGACTTGCCCGCTGCTCCCCTCAGCAGTGTACTTCCGTCAATCTGCCTGTTCTGTTCCCACTGTCTCCGGTGAATGCTCTCACCCTCCCCACACCTCCAGCCTGTGCCCCAGCTCTTGTATGCATAAATAAATTAAAAAAAAAAAAATCCTGGGCCTCCCCGGTGGCACAGCGGTTGAGCGCTAGGTTGCGAAGCTGCCCGCAGCCTCTGCAGCACAGGTTATATCCCCGGCTGCTCCCCGGCCACTGGAGGAGGGTCCCACATGGGGCGCAGACCTCTCCTGCCGCCCGCTGCTCCCCTCAGCAGTGTCCTTCGGTCCTTCTGCCTGCTCTGCTCCCCGCTCTGGCTCTGGTGAATTTTCTCACCCTCCCGCGCTTCTGACTGTACCCAGTGCTTGTATATATAAATAAATAAAAATAAATCTTAAAAATAAAGATTGCTTATTAAAAAAAAATAAATCCTACCCATGGGTGGGATTGGTGCTGGTCTGGCGGCTAGTGGGTTGTGTGGTAAATAGGGCTCAGTAAAATACTTTTGAGTAAAATCACTAAAAACAAATGAACAGCTGTAATGGCCAAATTATGGCTTAAACCCGCCCCCCCCCCGCCCCGTGAACTGTTAAGCGAGTATTGAACATTTTATAATGAAAGAAAAATCCAAACATGTAGGAAGAAAATGCATCAAGATGTGCTATATTACTTCTGGGAGTAAACGATTTTTTCCCCCAGTCTTTCAGAAACATAACCTGACTTTTCAAGGTCAGAAAACCCATTTGTTCCTGAGTTGTTCCCAGCATCCATATTAACTCTCCCACTTGACGCCTGTCAAGCCCAGCGTTCTCCAACTTTCAACTCTCTTGCAATTTTTACTGCAAACTCAGAACAACTGTGCATTGTGATAGGCCAATATATCTAGGATTTATATGTAAAGATTAGGAGAAACTACTCGGATCTAGTCTCAGTGCTGGTTTTAGTGGGGAAATGCCTGATACGTCATGTTCTCCAACACAATGCAGGGCTTACAGATCCCACAGTAGATTCATTAACAGAGGGGAAAGATCACACAATAGGTGACACCATTTTGGTAAAATCATGTAAGCACAGGCTCCGCGTCTTTAAATAGGTGGTGAGTGAGTAATGAGTGTTTTTAGCCTGTCCGCAGTTCTTGCATGTTTTTCCCAGTCTGGGCTTAGCTCTATGACTTGTCCCTGGAGTAAGCTTTGTCTCAAAGCCCAGATTCAACCCCTGACAAGGCAAAGAACGAGGGTTTCCGTTAAATGGGTATTCTACTTTACAAATTCCACTGCATCATTACTAGTTCCCCTTCCTGTCCCTTTGAGAGGATTTTATCAGCCATTCTCCCTCAGTTCAGAACTAGCTGCTGAAAAGGCAAGAGCCATTTTTGCTGATTACTGATCCCAGAAAATATGCCTCAAGGTGTTTGAAGTAATTTGCTTCCATCAACAGCTTAAGAGACCAACCAGCTAAGGGTACATTTTATCACAAGAGTAATGCTGAAGGGAAGCAGGAGTTAGCACTTCCATTCCAGTTTTCTACACTTTATTGTATCAATCAGTAAGTCAAAAAATCCTGTTAGTGATTTTAGAAAACATTTAGTTAGCAGGGAGTTCAGAATAACTGAGAAAAGTGTCCTGTGACTGTGAACATTTCTCACCCTTCCTGGGGGTGGAAGGATGTGTAGTGCAAAGGAGCACTGCCAGATGTTACCAGGCTAAAACTCACAGCATTTGTCAGTTTTCAGATGCCCTAACTAGTACAAATGGACAGGTACTAGAAAACTTGATACCAAAAAAAAGTGCTTAAGGCGTCCTTTGCACATTTAGTGCAATGTTTTATGTTTACATACCCAAGAACTAACCTGGTCCGCTTATACCGAGAAGTGATAGGAAATTCATCAGTTTCCAGCCCTCACAACGTAACAATCACCAGGACGTGGTGGCTGGTCCTCCCCACCCCCGGGGAGCTGTCAGCACCCTCCTTTGTGGCAGTCAACTGTCCTCACTGCCTCTGCTCCTACTGTAGTCCCACCTGGCTTAAGATGTCACTTAAAATTCCCTATGAACCCCCTCAAGATGACTCTTCTGAGGCACACCTCCAAGAGCTTCCAAGCCTCCTGACCAGTCCACAGGCAAAACAACTTGTTAAAGGCAGGGTTGTGTGGTTCCCCCCCCCCTTAGTGAGGTGCTTCTTCTGACCCTGTTTTTTGCATATACCAAGTGGCACAGGTGTCCAGCACCACCTCTAAAGACTCTTAGAGAGTGAAGATTCAACATACATGAACAACCTTGAAAATACCAAAGCTGGTTTTGGCTTATTTCGTAGTTAATGCCTATGAGGAGCGATGATGCATCCACTTCGCTTCAGAGGGCACCAGACTCTTTTCCCCACACAAACATCTTCAAAGAACAAATTAGAAAATACTCTGAACAGCAACCAGTTAAAAGATTTTAGAATACAGAAACTCTTTAAAATAAAATGTAAACCAGAACTTAAAATTCACATGCTTCAAGGAAACATTCTATGACTTTATTGTTGCTTTGATAATCAGCACAGACATTTCACTTTGTACACAAGTCTTTTACGTACCAAAAAAAGTTCATGATTCTTTTCTAAACATTTATTCCGGAGACTTTCCATCTCAAACTTTGGAGGCAAATTTTCCTTAAGTGGACATCAAGTACCAATCTCTTCAAATGCTGATAAGCTGATACACTGTAAGTCTCACTAATCCACAATTTAGCATCATACACACTACATACTCAAATTTCCCAATCTTTCACAGCACATAGTTACTAGGGAAACTGGACGACCAGGACCAAAGATGTTACAGAGTGCACGAAATTCTGACAGGAGAGCCCAGAGAAAGGAGTGGTTTTCTTTAGGAAACAATCCTACCAAAAAATGACGCGGGAATAGAAGTTTAAAATGTTCACGTTAGATGCACGACTGTGACTGCAAACTGCCATTTAGTAGCTTTATACAACAGGATATAAAAACTTCCCCGTCTATGGAATGCTAAGCAGACGCCCAAGACAATCAAAGCCTCCCATATTCAATATCCCACTATTTTCTGGTTGTACCAAAAAATAAACAACCAGCAAATGATTTCACCTCTTAAAAAAAAGCATTTACACTTAAAAAATGGGATGAGGTGGGTTTCCCTCCTTCTTAGAAATGTTTCTAGAGCTACTAAAAAACTTGCATTTACAAAATAGTTGATAAAAATATTCCTCTGGATTGTACAAGAAGGGAGACAGGGAGCACTGGTAAGACATGGTACATGACATTAATCAGACTTGGCTTCTTTCTCTCCTGCGGCATCAGAAGCTGGACTCTGTAAATCAAAGGACAAACAACGATCAACCATGGCTTCTGTAGCACTGCTGCTCCATTAAGCTAGAAATGGTTGGTCCCTACTCGCTAAAATTTATTTTAACAGCAAACCAATCTTCACGCATCTCCGTGGCCATGTGCAGATACAGCAGCAAGCACACTGAGACGCCCCCAGGCACACCCACCTGCGGGGACCCCACTGTCTCAGCTCTATCTGTAAGCAGTGTCTTTTGTGGTGCATTTAGTGCACAAATCTGACATGTCACTGTTTTTGTTTTTTAAAGACTTATTTATTTATGCATACAAGAACTGGGGTACAGGCCAGAGCGTGAGGATTCACCAGAGCCAGAGAAGAAACAGAACAGGTGGATTGACTGAAATACACTGCGCTGAGGGAAGCAGTGGGAGAGTGAGGAGAGAGGGGTCTGCTGCGCCATGTGGGTAGCTCCCTGGCCGGGGATCAAACTCGTGCTGCAGTGGCTGTGGCTAGCTTCACTGGTTGTGTCTTAACCCCCTGCGCCACCAGGGAGGCTCCCCATTTCACTGTTCTTGACCATGCTCACTAGTCAGTGAAGTGTTGTCTAGGTTGCTAAGCAGAACAGGCTGTGAGGTACCTACTGCGGTGCTAATGTACCAAACAGCACGCACTACAACTCTCACAATAAGGATTAGTTGTGATGGGCAGATGCAGTGTGATGGCATGCCTGCAGGACCCACCCGTATGCCCTCATGCCATGCTTGGTGCTCAGTGCCCCTACAGAAAAAGACCACTATTGAGTCAAGAAAATCAACTGAAGCCTGTAACATGTTTGAGGTCAAACCCCTCTTTAAAATGGATTAGTGATAGCATATTAACAATATGTATTAAATGTGCTTAGAACTAGAAATTAAAACTTAGGTGTACGGGCCTCCCTGGTGGCACAGTGGTTGAGCGCTGGGTTGCAAAGCTGCCCGCAGCCTCTGTAGCACCGGTTCGATCCCCGGCTGCTCCCCGGCCACGGAAGGAGGGTCCCACATGGCGCGCAGACCTCTCCTGCCGCCCGCTGCTCCCCTCAGCAGTTTACTTCGGTCCGTCTGCCTGCTCTGCTCCCCGCTCTGGCTCTGGTGAATTCTCTCACCCTCCCGCGCTTCTGACTGTACCCAGTGCTTGTATAAATAAATAAATAAATCTTTAATAAATAAATAAATTTTAAAAAAGCCAAACTTAGGTGTAGCTTTCTTGAAAAAAACAAAACAAAAAAAAAACACCCTACAAATTTAAGTTTCAAAGTTAATCTTAAACCGCTATCTTTTCTAGTTTACCCAATACAACATGAAACAAAGCCTAAAGTACTTAAACAAACCTTGCAGTTTACTTAAAAAGTCTGCTTTCCTCATAGCTTAAAGATGAATGACATCAGGTTTTTTGAAATTTGTTCTAAGTTATTACTGAGTCCTAGACACATGGCTGCTTTTAAGAAAAATAAGCCTTCATTAGAAATGAAAGTGGGACAAATGTGCCAAATGAGGGGACTGGTTTCCAAAAGTTGCAAGTAACATGCAGAATACACAAAATTGCTACAGCAATGTGAGAAGTATTTCTTTAACAAAGTCCCCAAGGTGATGTGCAACAAAAATGTCCTACCATTTAGGTATCTTTTTAAATACATCAGGAATGACAGTAACACACCTCCAGCGTGCAACACAGATTATGGATGTGTGACTGGAGAAATTCTAAATATATTACAGTATCTGTTCACAAACTTAAAAAGCTATTTTCATATATACTTGGCAAATATCATCTAGTTAAAATTATTCAGTTGGAGTTACAGCACAAAATTTTAAATATTATAAACAAAGGCTATATTTTCAGCTGCACACAAAGACACAATTTCATTATTTTTTTGTCCAGCGTCAAAAGACCGCACAAGCACGCCTCACCTCCTGGTTCTTAGTCTCTCCGTTCTCTGCTGGCAAGTCTTCTTTAGTTTCTTGGTTAGCCACCTCCGCCTGCTTCCCCTTTGCGCCCCTCTTTCCTTTTGCTTGCACTTTTTTGTCTGATGATTTATCCTGTGACAGAACAGGGGTATGCTGTAAGTGTGAACTTTACACTGACATTCTGCTGTAAAGGCAGCGCCACAGAACGGCACCGTTAAAGCCGTGTCACGCGGCAGCGCGTCACACCACCAGAGAGCCCCCTTTTGGCCCACCCCAGTTACCAGGAAGGTGCTGGACACTAAGGTCAAGGGTAGGTCACGCCCCCCTCCACTCCCCATTCTCCACCTCCCGCTGCCCTGTGAGCTCCACTGGACAGAAGAGTGAGGCGAGGACTAGCCGAGGACTCTTCCCACGGGAGCCTCATCCACCCCAAACGTCTCTCAAGCATGCACAACGGCCCAACTATCAGCCATCACTGTCCTGACGAGCCGTTCACCCTCAGTGAGGACATTCACCTGAAAAACAGCACCACGCTGCATGTCAGTCAGTCCCCTGGTATCCTACGAGCAGCTAAAGGATCAATTTTGAGTTTAATGTTTTCACGTAAGTATTCGAATAGCCTGGCAGTTACAGGTGTTAGTAGGACGTTAAAAGAGGCTTATAATTGCAATGATTTTGAGGCAGTATGAAACTATTTTTGAATTATTTTCATCAATAGGAGAGAAACTCAACAAATATTTAAAATTTCTTACGAAGAAAGAATGTAACAAACTGCAGTTAGGTCGCCAGTGATGGGGATACAGAAGAACCCCATGACCAATGCCAGCCCTCACCGACCACAAGCATGTACGTCTCTCAAGGCTCAGTGCCAAGAGGGATCAAATCAGCGCCCCGTGCTTGTACCAGCCGGCATCCCCTGTGGCAAGATGGCAGGACAACTGCTAAGCCAACCCTTCAGAACTTGTCGTAAGTAAACATGTTTTGGACACACGGCTACTCGGATGTTGCTACCACTGAGCGTCATCATCGCTTCTGTAATTAAAAGCTGTCCCTTTGTAATCTGATTAATTTCTCACTAATTGCACAACCACTTAAGCAGTAGCATAAACACACAAAACCTTTTTGAAACTAAGAACAGTACACACAGTAACCTATACCAAAACACCCCTTTTTAACTAATAAGCTAAATGGAACAAATCAGTATGTTTCCCTAACAGGCTTAACCTTTAAAATGTTCTGAGAAAATTTACAAGTCACACACCTCTTCCTTCCCATTTTCCCAGAAAAAGGAACAGTCTTTTCCCTTAGGCAACACCAACACAAAGACTTACCTGGTGACCTCACTGAGGTGGAAAAAGAGGACTATATGTGATGTCCCAAACCCAACTGAGGGTAAAATCTGAACTGTTTTCTTTGGAAATGAATTTTTAGAATGTATCAAAAGAGACGAACAGGGAAGAAAAATCTGAGAAGCACAGCAGTTTAGCCAATTCGTTTATTAAAAAAGCAGAAACTCTAAGAGGGATGACAGTGCACCACTCAGGCCAACATTGTGCAACAAGACGCCCTACAGTTTCGGCCTTTGGGCCCTTCCCGAGGTATCTGTACAGAGCTGCTGCCTTCTCCTGCCACAAGCTCTAAATTGATTTACTACACATACCCTCCACTCCCCACCCCTTTACTTAAACCACAAAAAGAACTTCCTATTATTGAAGGATGGATTTTTGCACGCAGCTCTGTATAATGACAGAAAAAAACAACTCCGGTTACGCAGCGTTGAGGTTCCAGGTAACTTTCGGGAAGGTGGTGACAGTATGAAGGACTGTTGGGGGGCGGACGGTAGGGAGGAGAGAGGAGACGTCAGATAGTGCAATCTCACCTAAGTTTTAAGTGAAGACCATTAATCACACCTTGAACTCCTGAGGAAAGCCGTGGGCTGCGCAGGGAACGGTTAACGCTACACACATCAAAGCTGTCAACGACTCTCAGTACTTTCCTCTCTGTCGCCAACACGCAGGTAACCCAGAGCAACCTCGCCGCCGGCCCGTCACGTGACCCGCCTCCCGTCCCCCTCGGGCCGGTCCCGCTGACTGAGGACGCGCGCACGGGCCGGGGCGCCCACAACGCCGTCCGCCTCCTCGCGCGCGCTCGAGGGAACCACCCGCGGACCCCGTTAGCCGCGTCGCCGCCCCCCGGCGCCAGGTGAGCGGCTCCCTCGCGAGGCGCCCGGCTTCGCGCTAGAAGAACGCCCCCTTCCCGCCGCCGCCGGCGCCGAGGCCGCAAGAACCGCAGCGCGCGACACAAACGCCCTTCGGCTCGGGCCGCGTCCGGGGCGTCCGGGCACCGCCGCGCGAGGCCGCCCCGGCGCGGTCCGGCCCTCAGCCCTCAGCCCGGCCGCCGAAGCGCGCCGCGGGCCGCTCCCTGAGCGGTGAGGACGCCGCGGCGACGAGCGCGCGCCTGTGCCGAGGCCCTCGCAGCCCGAGGCCCGGCCGCCCCGGCGCCCCCGCGGACCTACCTTTCCCGCCGCCTTCTTGGGCTTCGCCTCCACCTTCGCGGGCGCGGGCTTCTGGAAAGCAAGGCCGCGGGTGAGCGTCGCCCCGGGCGCGGGCCCCGCGCGCGGAGGGGTCGGGGCGCTACTCACCGCCGACAGCCGGGCCGACCTCCGCTTGGGCTGCGGAGAGAAGAGGACAATGGGCCGCGGGCGGGCGCCCCCCCCCGGGGCCCCCGGGCCGGCCGCGCGCGCTTACCTCCTCCTTGGCCGCCCCCTCGGCCGAGCTGACCTGCGGAGGGAAGGGACGGGAGTGGGCGCCGCCCGCCAGCCCCGGCCCCGGCCCGCGCCCCCGGCCCGCGCCGCGAGAACAATGCCCGGCCGCGTGACGTCACCGGCTTCCCGCCGCCGCGTTCGAATCGCCCACCCGGCCCCTCCGGCGGCCGAACGTTCCAGAACGCCCCCCGGGCGCCCGCCCGCCCCGCGCGCCGCCCGCCCCGCGCGCCGCCCGCACCCCCCGCGGCGGGCGCGGCGGGGCGCGGGCCTCGCGGGGCGCCGGGCGGCCGAGGGGGCGTGCGCGGGCCGCGGCGGCCGCCGCTCACCTTCCTCTTGGGCATCGTGGCGGCGGGGCGGGCGCGTGCCGGGTGCCTGCGGGCCGCCGCGCGCCGAGAGCCTCCGCGAGCTGCGCTGCCTGGCCGCTGCCGCTCCTCCCGCCGCCCGAGCTGCCTGGACCCGCGGCGGGGGCGGTGGGAGAACCGGATGGAACCGGATTGCGAGACCGCCCCCTCCTCCCCCCGCGTCCCCCGGCCGCGGGCTCCCCCTCCCCGCCCGCCGGGCCGCCCCCCGCCCCCGCCCCCGCCCATTGGCTGCGGGGCCCACCGCGCCGCGGCCCGCGCCCGGAATAGGTGAGGCGGGCCGTCACTCGCCCGCCCGCCCCGCCCCGCCCCCGCCCGCGGCGCCCCCACCCCGCCCGCCGTCTCGCGGGGCCCCCGACCCAGGCGACGGGGGCGGGGCCCCAGGGGCCGGTCTCGCCTCACGGTAGTTTGTTTGAAGGCGAGCCGCAAAGTGCGGTCTGCGCGCCGATTGGCGGACGCCCGCCACGTGGTCGCGCGTGGCCCCGCCCACCGCCGCTGGACACCTGGGCTCCGGCCAGGGCCTGGAGAGCCGGCCGCCGCGAGGCCTGCCCCCGGGCCGGGGCCGGCGGGGCCAGCCGCCGCTGGTGTCGCCGACGCGGGGGAGACACAGTGGACTTAACAAGCCCGTCCTCGTGCCCTAGGCGGCCCGTCGCGGGTCCGCTACTCCTCAGGCCTGCGGGAAGCGGCCCCAGTGCGCAGGCGCGGGCGGGGAGGTCGTGGGAAGCGGGGCCGGCGCGGGCCGCCAGTGCGCAGGCGCGGAACTCCGCTGGGGCGGGGTCCGCTGGCCGCGGGTCCGCTGGCCGCCGGCATCATCCTCCCGCCGGCGGTGTCGGGAGACGCCAGGGGCGAGCGAGTGGGTTCGGGACTCCTGGCCCCCTCGTTCCCAGGGCGCGTCCGCTCGCGCACCCCAGCTCCTGCCCGTTTGGGGGCGGGTTGCTCACCTGAGCACCTGCACAGGTGAGAAAGGTCTTCGGGCTGGAGTCGGTCTCGCAGCCCCGAGACCCGAGAGGTCGCGCGCCACTGTTGCTTCCTTGCGCAAGGAACGTAAGCTTAGCTGCCAGATTCAGTTGCGTTTGTCAACTGAAATAATCACCGCTGTGTAGCGATTCAAAAAGAAACTGATTAAAGATTATTCGGAGCGATCTGACGGGTCCGCTAGCGGGAGACGCACCGGGCTTCTCAGGTGCCGGGCTCACTCTGCAGGTGTGCTCAGCTATGGGCACACGAGGAGACACATGCCCCTATAGTGGCGGCAAAGGAGCCATCTGGTTATACTCTGGTTAAGGAGAAAGGAAGCTTTGTATGAAACAGCAGTGACCTCTCATTCTGCATTCAGATTTAGCTGTCTCTGCGAGTAGCACAAGGACTGAGGCTTACAGAGATTTCTGACTCTCCTGGATAGAGCTTGCTTCTGCGGACCTGAACGCCGTTATGCAGCTTATCTCGGCTTCCTTCCCGCAGCAGTTTGCAGCATCGCAAGGGACGTGGTCGCCTTGGTGTGTTGATTTGGCTGCACGGCGCTTCACAGCAAAAATAGTTAATTCTTTTTCCCCCTTTATGCTAACTTCAAGGTGCTCACTCTGCAGTTTCCCAGAGCAGAGGGAGCTGCAATTAGTAGTATTTATTTTCAGTCCACAGGCTACTGTAGAAAAAGTTTGCAATTGGAAAATTGTCTCCTGGAATTCTTGGAGATGAGTCCGAAAGATGGGAAACAAGCCACATGTCCATCTTCGTGGAGGTGGGGATAACCTGGCAGCTCCACATAGAGCAGTGCTGAGCTGCTGCAAACAGTGAGGCTGTACCTGCCTGGAGCAAGTGGGCACTAGGAACTACTGTCACACAGTGGCCATCCTGGTCAATGACTCTAGGACCTTCCCTCATGGAAGAAAGACTGAAGCCCACAGAGTGACATGTAAAGCCCTCTGGCCTGTTTCAACAGTTTTCATCCCTGCAACTCTCTTCCACCTTCCTGACCACAAGCAGGTTGGGCACCTCTGCTTCAGGGCTTTGTCACCTGCTGTTTTCTGCCTGGAATGTGGCAGAGGTGACTCCCTTCCCCACCTCCTACCAGTCTTTGCACAAATGTCACCCTCTCAAGGACGTTTTCTGACTTCTCAGTTTACAATTGCAAGTGCCCATCTTATTTCCTGCATGGCATCTGTAAACTAAAAGCAACCATTAAAAGCATATCCCCTCTCCTTGGTCTCAACTAAGGGGCAAAAGCTGGAGAGCCAAGACACAACTGGACAGGCCTTGCGATGAAGCTATGTCCACAATTGCAGAAACATTCTCTCCAGGCAAGTGAAACTCCTAGTTCCCAAAAGATAAGGCTATAGATAGGGTAAATATTAAGTCTTCCTTTTTTCCCTCAATGTATAGACAACAGCACATGGATACATTGACTGGACATCTGTCTGGATTCTTGAAAATATTTTCCTGGCAGACTACAAATTCTCATTGTGAGGCTCAGCACTTCGGCAGCTTTCCCAGAGTGAGCTGGGATGGAGGCTGTTCCCAGGAATGAGTCCTCAGTCTTGATTCTTTAAGATGCTCACTTAATTTTTGCTTGCCTCCATCTGTTTCAGCCAACACATCTAATACACTTATATACACATACCTCTCTATATAGCTGCGTACATCTCTCCTACACATCCTGGTATCTTTGTGTATCTTAGGGAAACTACACAAGAAAGTGGTGCCAGTGCTTGCCTGGGGAGAACAATTGGAGGGCACCGGGTAAGGGTGAAATTGATCCTTTCCTCTTGCTTTTTGTTCCCTCTCTCCTATTTGCATTTTAAAAAATTGACATTAACCAGCTCTTTCACCTGCTTGTGTCTAAGCAAGTGTCTTTTACTCTTCTCTCCCTTTTTAATAAAACAGTTCTTTTGAATACATAAAAAATTGATGTTGGAGAGTGCCTAAGTTTATTGCTCAAACCTGTACTGAGTAGGTACCCTGTGCCAGTCATTATGACGGGCCCTGCCTGGAGTGGAAAGAAAACTCTCCTGGAGTCAGGTGGTCATTTAGGAGGGAGAGAAAGTACACACATGTCCTCATAAGGGAAAAGGGAAGCCACAGGTTAGCAGGGGACAGCACATCCCAAGGCGTGCAGACTTAACAGAATGTGTCAGAGTGGAACAGGGAGAACAGACTGTTTAGATGAGAGAAAAGACGCAGCGAGAAGAGGAAGGGCGGTCTGCAGGAGGCATGTAATGCCAGTTTAAGGGGTTTGACCATTATCCAAGGTGTGTGAGGCATTGCGTTTTAAAATTTTCATCAATGACTTTTTTAAAAAAAGATTTATTTATGTTTATACAAGAGCTGGGGTACAGGCCAAAGGTGTGGGAGAGTGAGAGGACTCACCAGAGACAGAGCGGGGAACAGATCAGGCAGACGACTGAAATATACTGCTGAGGGAAGCAGCGGGAGGGACAGGAGAGGTCTGCTGTGCCATGTGGGATTCTCACGGGCTGGGATTGAACCCGCACTGTAGAGGCTGCGGACAGCTTCACAGCGCTGCACTCAACTTGCTGCGCCATTGGGGAGGCCCATCAATGACTTTTTAAAAACAAATTAAAGAAACACAGCAAAATTGTTTACGCAAGCCCATGTCGGCACATGCCATGCAAGGATGCTTGAACACTCTGCTATATGAAAGTGCCATATTCTGACCAAGAAGTCCTAGTACTTCATTCATTGTCAGCTATACTGACACTAAAGCAGGTTGATAATACACAGGGTAAAGTCCGGGCTTAGGGCAGCCAGAACAGTAGAAGGGATATGAAATTGTGCATGTGAGATAACTGCCTTTCCTTAGCTTGCGTCAGTTGCTGAAACAAACACTACAGATTGTACATTAATATTCAGTACCTCCGGGCCTCTCTGGTGGTGCAGGTGGTTGAGGACAGCGCTGTGGAGCTGTCTGCAGCCTCTGCAGCGTGAGTTTGATCCCAGCCAGCTGGGGAGATACCCACATGGCGCTGCAGACCTCTCCTGTCTTGCCCACTGCTCCCTTCAGCAGTGTATTTTGGTGAGTCTGCCTGTTCTGTTCCCAACTCTGTCTCTGGTGAATCCTCTCACCCTCCCCGCACATCTGGCCTGTACCCCAGTTCTTGAAAAAAAATATTCAGTATCCCAGTTTCAGGTGGAAAGATTGTCAGTCTGCTTTTTGCATGAATGAATCATTATCATTTTGCATTTGCATGAATGAATCATTATCATTTTCACTTGGCCAAAGCCAAGATAAAAATTTAGTTGTTCCTTCTGTTTTGGGAATAGTTGGGACAATTTTCTTTTCACATTGCATTTCAGAACTGGGTTCTTGATGTGCCTGTCTGGATAAAAAACCACCTCTGCACTGACTCACTGAGTAACTGATCTTAGTTACTCCATTCTGAGTACATCTGGGGTTACTAGGTCTAGACTGATTCATAGAGATGTCCTGGTGTTCATACTTTCTTTCCTCAGTCTTCCATGGCTGGTGCTTATTTTGAGACCTGCTCAGATGAAACAATAGGACAGAGTGGAGTTATTTATTTATTTATTTTCAAAGATTTATTTATTTATGTATACAAGAGCTGGGGTACAGGCCAGAGGTGTAGGGGGTTAGAAGATCCACCAGAGACAGAGTGGGGAGCAAAACAGGCGATTGACTGAAATACACTGCTGAGGGGAACAGCGGGCAAGTTAGGAGAGGTCTGCTGCACCATGTAGGTAGCTCCTATGGCTGGGGATTAAACTTGTGCTTCAGTGGCTGCGGTGAGCTTCATAGGTTGCATCTTAACCCCTTGCGCCACCAGGGAGGGCCAGTGTGGAGTTATTTAAATCAGGTTGCCTTAATGCTGGTTGCTACTAATCCTTTCCCATCACTGCTGCATATGGTCAAGGACATTCCTGGTGCTTTGTCAGATTTTTGTGTCACCAGGAAGTAGTGAGCCTCCTCCTGGGTGTATGTGGCAGTGGGGTGGGATATAGTGGGTATGGGAAGATCTGATGCTCTCCTTTTTTTTTTTTTTT